TTTTTTTTTTTTAGCTGAGCCATCCTGCCACCTGTGGGCAGCTCAGCGGCAACTCAGCCCGGGCCAGGAATCGAACCACTGTTGCTCAGAGCTCACACTCTTGAGCGAGCTCTTAACCAACTGAGCCACTCGGCCGGCCCAAATTCAGATTCTTGATAGCTTCGCCTTGTTATGTCTTGCTAACAACTGTTTTACTGCAAGTAGTATTTACTATTTGTTTAGAATTTGATTTGCATGCTTGTAGACCTCAAGGATATTGAGATTTGAACACTTACTGTGTTCCAGACACTAAGCAAACACTTTATTTGCATGATCTCATTTAATCCTTAAAGCTACTCCTTGAAAACTGGGAACATTGCTGAAGCCCAGTTTCTAGCCCAATGCCTGGTCCGTAAGAGATGCTCAACACATAAAATAATTCTTATTTTACAAATGGGGAAACAGGCTCAAAAAGGATAAGCCACAAGTCACTTCTGTTAACCATCACCTCATACTGTCTCCCTAGATAAAATCCCTTAATCTGACATGAGTCCTCTTAACCTATCATTCCATTTCACCTCTCATTTCTCAAGCTCTCTGTTTAAGTGATGTTGTTTGATTCATTTGTCCCAAATACACCTTGTGCTTTCTCACCTCTGCACTTGTGCTATTTTTTGTACTTATTTTGGCTTTTCATTTTTCAAGGTCCAGTTTAAATTTCACCCTTCAATGAAGCTTTTCCTGAATAATTCACAATTTCTTCTCTGACTCCCATGATACTTCATATCCATGTCAGTACTTTGGGACATAGGTTAGTGCCTGGGAAGTTACCTCTCTTTGGAGAGGTAACATAGGTGGGCTCTCCATTCATAGGGCTTTGATTCCGTTTACACTTTTTTGTATGTGTTTGCACACATGCATATACACACGTGTGCTTACCTTATAGAATATGACCACCTCATCCATTTACTCAATACTCCCATAGCATCTGGCCCAAAGTGAATAAATAGTTCATTTTGCTCATCAGTGTCTTTTAATAGAATTGCCCCGTCAATGTTAGAAGGGACGGATTGGCCAATGTACCCTTGTTGAAAAGCAATTGATCGTAAATGTTAAGAGTTTATATCTGGAGTTTGAATTCTCTTCCCTGAAAATATGTCCGTTTTTATGCAAGTACCGTACAGTCGTGGTTACTGTAGTTCGATGTGGTAAGTTTTGTAGTTCTTTTGCAAATTTTTATATAAAATCCGTTTTCTTGAACTTCAGAAGGGCCAGACTGGTTAATATTCTTTTTCTAGACTCATAGTTCTAGAGCTCCCTCTTCTGTTGCTTTTATGAAGTGTTCAAAAATAGAGTTTCATGATTTCTGAGATCCGGTTCTGTTTCTCTTTGACTTTTTGGGGGACCATCTCTGTCTTTCACGTCTTGTATTCATGTGCTACTCAATTTGAAGTCTCTTCCTAGCAGTTTATAATACAAAGACATAAAAAAGAAGAAAAGTGGCCCCTGGTCCTGCTGTCCTCTTTTGACAATTTTGGAAGCAAATAATGTTCACATATTTAGTATCCTTCAGCAGTTGACTAAAGTGAAAGTCTTCCCCCATCTTTATCAGTTTCAAGAAATTTCCTTTCAGGGAAAAAAAAGTATGCATTTACCGAAATATACGTAATTATTCTTAAAATAGATATTTGTACAAATTATTCTTGAATTTGCTTGTTTAATATATCTAAAGGATGTTTTAAAATTGGGAATATGTGTCAGCTAAAGAGTATTATCACTATTTTTAAAAACTATTCTTAAGACTTCTCAGAGTAACTCAGGTAATGGGGCTCTCTTCATGGGCCCCTTTTCTTGATAGACAGGATTCCTGTATGGTTTTGGGGAAGGAACCAGGGCCAGCTACAGGAAGTTTTCCCAAGGTCATCCCTCACCTGTCCCAAAGAACTGTTTTCGGTAATGCTTCTTACATAATTATTAATCCCATTAGCGTAGTCTATGTTTAAATAACCTTTATGCATTCAGGTTATCCTGATTGTATGGTCCCATCTCCCAGCTGTCCTGATCTGTTGCCTCTGGTTACACTGTTTCAGATTCCATATTCTTCAGAAACTCTGGTAGCTTTGATGCTTTTTTCTTTTAAAGATTTTTATTGGGGAATTGGGGGATGTGAACAGCGCTGGGGAATTAGGGGAAAGGGAACAGACAAGTTGCTGTCGTTTTGTTCTTCAGTCTAGTTGTGGAGGACGTTGCTTCACTGGCCCAAGTTGGCACCTTCATTGCACTCTTCCCGGGTGAGGCACATCAGTCGCCGGCTTCTGGACGGCCGCTCACTGCCGCTGCTGGCCGCTCACGCTGGCTGCTGGCTACACATGGTAGCCCATGGCAACCCACTGCAGCAGGGGCTGCAGCCTATGCCATCGCCAGCGACTAACAGCAGCCCAGCTCCAGGTTGAGCTGTTGTTCAGCATCTTAGCTGTGGAAGGCAGTGTCACTGGCCCTCATATGTGGGATCCAAACCGGGGCCCTCTGGCATCCCAAGCCAGTTCTTAACCATCGCGCCACTCGGCCGGCCCCAGCTTTGATGCTTTGACTGTATGTATCTTCTTGTCAATGAGAAGGTACGGTCAGTGAGGATAGGAATATAGTCTTTTTCTATACATTAGTGCTCAAAAAAAACCTCTCCTGACTGACAGGTTGCCTGAGGAGTACTGATGATGCTTCCGGGGGTTGTGTTTATTCCTTCCAGGGGAACCAGGAAGTGGGACGGAAAGTGATACTTCTCCAGACTTCCACAACCAGGAAAATGAGCCCAGCCAGGAGGACCCTGAGGAGCTGGATGGCTCTGTGCAGGGAGTGAAACCTCAGAAGGCTGCTTCTTCCACTTCCTCAGGGAGTCATCACAGCAGCCATAAAAAACGAAAGAATAAAAACCGGCACAGGTCAGTGGCAGGGACCACCCCCCACACCCTGTATACCCCCAGCCCCCAACTTCCTCCCACCCACCCAAAGCTTCTATGACCATTGCTGTGAAGGGACTTTACTAGAATAAAAATTCTTCAAGGTTGGTTCAGCCCATCTGTTGCTGTTGGGAAGAAGTTCCATTGGTCCAAAGGAAACACTCATTTTTCTGAGGGATGAGTTGGTGTAACCATGCAGAGGGACAGCCTTTTCACTGTTTCTAGTGTAGAAGAATTTTATTCCATAAAACCTTTAATATGCTGAATTTGGAATCCTTTTAGAAGTGGAAAAGGGGAAATGGAAGCAGAACCTATGTAATAGTATTTGAAAAATTGCCACTAGTCCGTGTTGGGAAGCTGCAAAATGGGATAAATTCCTTTGCTCCGAATCCTGATTCCTGCCTACTCTATTCCCTTGTGAATGGAGAGAACTGATCTAACATGCCTTTTTTCTTTTAAAATACAAGTTTTTTGGTTGCTTGTGATTTCTCTGTTTTTCTGTATCTGCAATATGCTGATTTCAGATATCAGAGGAATAATATAGAGTCTATAAGATGTCTGAGTGCCTTCCTAGGTTAACATTTGTCCACTGTGTTTCTTTTGCAGTGCATAATGAGATAGGAATGACATCAGTGAACAGAGAGGTCAGGTGTCACCCAGGGAGGATTTTAGCATTCACTCTGCTTGGGGTTTGTATAATAATGCAGGGCCTATTAACTCCAATAATGGGAAATACAGCTGCACTCAGAGAGGATAATGCATAGTTTTTAGAGTAAGGAATCTTGCCCTGGCCTCAGACCTCCTGGGAGGCATGGAAACCAGGTATCCATAGGGTAACTTTTGTTCTGCCCCTCTTAGGAGCCTGCGTGCTGAGGAGATGAAAGGAGGTGTGCGAGGGATGGGTGGGGTTCCCTGTCCTCCGTTGTGCTTCTGGATTGGCTTGCTTTACAAACGTGGGATATTCCTTCATACACCAAAGCTTTAAATTGTTAGCTCCATGGGTATGGCACACAGGGATAATATAGAATTAACTCTTAACTGGTTTAAGCCTCCTTGGCATCAACTGATTCTTTAATTCTTTTAAGAGGTTTTCTTGGTGGTGGTGGTGGTGGTGGTAATTTTTAGATTGCAGATCTAGTATTTCCTTCAAATAGAGACTAAGGACTGCTGCTTAACATTTTCCTGCAAACCACAGATCACCCTGCCAATCTTATAAGTGCAGTAAGAAACAGCAAAAATTACATCTCCTTTTCTGTAAGGCTACATGCTGTTTGATCCCTGTGATAGGACCGATGCTAGCTTATCACAAACAGTAGCAGAGAACCACACTCTTAAAAATATTTTTTTAACTTGTCAAGATAATTAAATGTCATGCTCTGTGTTGCTTTTCTTAAATATACTCCAACATCATTTTAAAATAATGATGCTTTTCCTGTTTCAGTGTCTAGAGTAGGGAAATTCCATTAAAGTTTCTGGGACCTTTTTTTTCTATTACTGATAGAAATAGACTCTAGATAGCTATTGTTTATTTCACATAGGTAATACTTTATTTTCCTGATCAGCTGATGATAAAATGGAATTAGGCATTAAATTTAACATACTTCTTACAGATTTCTAGGTAACATACTTCTTGCGTAGGAACAGCACTTCTTCCTACCCTTTTCTCTCTTGGCCCTAGACACTAACTCCTTCCAGAAAAATTACTAGGATTTATAAAGATCTTTGCTGTTAGTTATTGTTTTCACAAATAGTGTTTTTTGTTTGGAAAGCAGGATCCTTTGGTCATATTCCTGGTTTAATCAGGCTGGGCTTCTCCCTTGGACTTAGGTACTTGCGTGCTCCAAGGAGCAGAGTGGAGCTGATTTACCTTTCTAGGGAAAACAGGTTCTGTGCACTTGAATGGCACCTCAGTGGTCAATTAAGGGTCTCAGATTCCTGACATGTTTATTCAGGTAATATGTCTGGCTCAGACGCCCCGCCCCCTGACTAATGTCTTAGTGGGTCTGACAGAGTGGAGCTGAGGGTGGAGCACTTCGCACACATTTGTAAGTTTGCACCCAGTCCAGTACTTGTTTCTCCTCCAACGTGCCACACTTCATATAGTCAGATAAAGCCAATAGTATATTATTTCAGCAAATGTGTGAGTACCTACTATGTGCCAGGCACTGTTTAGTGGTGAGTAAAGCAAAGTGGAAATAAATGTGGTACTTAGCAAAAAGGAATTACTTTTGAATTTGTCCTCTTCAGGATTATGAAAATTTATCAGATAATTTTTAGCATTCATAATTGATCACACTGTTCTGAATTTTTATATTTTACATGATACCTGAATGATGAAGTCCCAGTATCTTTAAAGAAAAAATTAAAATAATAACTTACAGCTTCTCTTTTAGATAAACTATACCAAACTGTAGAATTCTTTTAGGTAGTTTGTGAATTTTTCATTAAGTAGATACAATCTCCTTTAATTTGTGAACAAAGTTAAGTGAGGCTGAAAGTTAAATTTTTGATAGTTCCTGGTTTGTACACTTACTGTATCCTCTTTCTTTCAGCTTCACTCTTGCAAACATTGGCTAGGAGGAAAAGGCAGACATTTTGCATGTTGGTTTGCCACCTGTCTATAGTCTGAAAAGCTTTGGAGCCACCTGAGAAGCTGGTGGTGTCATGCTCCAGGTTCATGTGCTGTAGAGGTCTGCCCAGACCATGGTCTATTAGCGGTGATGGCCCTGAATGACGACCTCATACTGCTCCCATCCAGATCCCTGAGTCCTGGGTGCTCGTGGGTGTCAACTTTCCTTTGTTTTCATAGGGGCGCTGCAGACTTGGGTGTTCCTTAACTGTAGCCCTGACATAAACAGTTAACTGCCATCACCAGTGCAGGCTCTGCAGTTTCTGGAACAAGACTCACCTATCACTGAAGTTTACTCATTCGACCCTTGGCTTCTAGAATGAATGCTGTAGAGAAGGAGTACCATGATCCCTGGACATGAGTAGAACATATAACTTGAGTTAAAAGTTGTAAAATGTTTCCTTTTTTAGAAATTGTATAATGTTAAAAAAAAATGTATAATGTTTTTCTCTTACTTTAGTCCAAGTATGTTTTGCTGAGTTGTTAGTACTGTCTTCAAAGCACCTTTCATTATATGACTAAACCCTTCTTTCTCGATTTCTTCTAATGCCCTAATTATATTTGTCATTACAATTAAATATTTTCAAAGTTCTAACTCTGAATCTGACATCTAATACAAGGCCTGCAGGTATCTAGTTTCTAATGCAGTAACTTTTGCTTTCATAGTCTCTTTTTCTGATACGAAAACCACTGAGGGAAGGGAATCTCCCAACCACAAAATCTTTGGTGCTTTGATGTTTGAAACTTTATGGCTTAAGATTCTTAAAGCTGATTTTGTTTCTACAAATCTTGTTAGGGTGGCTAATCGACTAATTTATTCAATTAGTATATTAATTTCTATTGCTTTCTTCCTTTCAAATGCTGCCCCTCAGCCCGTCTGGCATGTTTGATTATGACTTTGAGTAAGTTTGATTTGAATTAGTATTTGTGCTGTGTTGTTTAGTGTGTAGAGACCAATATGCCTTTTTGAGACCTTTCTAACCCATAGTTTATCTGTTTAATTGTAGGTATGTATATTAGGTTAGGCTGGGAAGTTTTTTTTAAAAACAGAAAAACGTGATGGAGGTAACATTTTATTTAATAACTTCAGCAAAATTAAGTAAACTTCACTTTTATGCATTTTAATTGCTTTTAAAATAGATAACTTTTACTTTAATTCTTATTTAAATTGATTTTCTGGCTTTGCTTCATAAGGAGATTAATAATTTAAGATCTTGATACTTTGCTTTGGAAAGATTTAAAAATTGAAATTTGTTTAATTTCTTCTGTGTTTCATGCCCATAAATACAAACTCCTAGTCTCTTTCTTATTGTTGATCACTGTGTGTCTCAGAGATTATCAGTGGTATAGTCACAGCACTAACACATTAACATAGAGCATGCCCTCTTAAGCCAATCTCTTTAATGTGTAATTTTGGAATCATTTGAAAAATATTATATGGCTTTCATAACTGCTATGTATTTCTTTTTGAGTCATCTAAGTTTGCCTTGTGGCAAAAGTACTTGCTCATGTCTTTAAATACTTGCTTAATAATATCTGGATAAACAGCTAAATATGACATAGTCTAATGAAGAATGTGGATTTTACTTAACCAAATAGTCTTTGTTATAGCTTGTGCCCTATGCAGTAGCTGATTCTTGGACTCTTTCTGTAAATTAAAATGCAAATATCTCTTATCTTTCCTATACAGGATTGATCTGAAGTTAAACAAAAAACCACGAGCTGTAAGTATCAGCTGGACAAGTTCAGAGAGCCTGGTAATTCTGGAGATGATTAGAAAAATGTATTCGTCCTCAGAGCTTGAGTGCTCCTAATCCGGGGTCACTACTCTTGTTTTAAAATCTGGGATGTCCATCTGCAAACACTTTAACCTTTAAGTGTTACTTTTTTTATATTTTGGAGAGAGAAAGGGGTTGCACATTTTTACTGAAGAAAATCTCTTTGATAAAATAATGAATTGTTAATACTAGCTTTTTTTTTCTGACTGGTGAGCTCAGGATGTCTAATAATGAGGGCAGAATTGGTATTTTAGTCCTTTGGCGGACTCAGAAGACAGGCCATTTTCAGATATGAAATAATGTACATTACATTTAAAATTGAATCGTTGGCTATAGAACAATCCCCTAGCAGAGTTATTCATGAGATTTTTGTTTGTTTGGTTTTAGGTTCAGACCAATGTTCTGAGAATAAATTGGGGCCTTGTTTTTCTCTCTTTAGGACTATTAGAAGACTCATTAGTGCAGAAGCTTCCAGGCCGTAGAGCCCTGCCTCCCTCCTCCGACCTCACAAAGACAAACACCCCTCACCCGAGTGTGTGGCCACCATCTCTGCTTTCCCAGACCCAGTGCCTGTGTCTCTGAGTAGTTTGTTCTGAAATGTGACAAACCAGTCATTTCCGTAAGACCACATCGGATCGTTTACTTTGTGTCATGTTTAGTAACAGAACTGCAGGAAGACCAAGACATGGTTATAATCCCAGCAAGTTGCTAACTGAATCTCTCTCTTCTTGGAACAAATGTCTCCCCCCAAACTGGCTGGCACCAGCTTCGTCTGCGATACCCATTGGGAAATGGTCTCTGCTCTTGTTTTATGCTGAAAGAACACAGGTTACATTTCAGAGGGAGGCTGTAAATACCTGGCATTTTCTTATTTTGTTTGTGTTTTATCATTTTTCTATTGTTGTTTTTACCATCTTATTTTCATTTTGGGACTTCTTTTGTAACGCCTTTGTACGGCTCATACCTTCCTGTCAACATATCTGATCATCTGTTTCGTGGAGTTGCCAGTATTCCTAACAGAAAGTGATCTGGTTTACCACAAATAAAATGGGGAACTTGGCTCTTTGTTTTGTTGCAGGGGAAAGGTACAGAGTGTTTGTTTAATAATTACCTATCTTAAAATCTCTGAGTTGGAAGCAGTTTCATGTTCAAGGAATAGGAAAAACTGAAAAACGAAGTTTTAATCAGTACTTTTAAAATAGATATTTTTATTCTTTTGTATAAATAAAATTTCACAGGTTTTGATTTCTCATGCTTAGTTTTAAACCTGAGATTGTTTTTTTCACTTATTTATTTGTATCATGCCTTATGGAAATTTCCTTTTCCATCTTTTCTCTCGTTGCTGGTATTTGCCCGGTTAAATATTGCTCTTCAAATCATTAAGGCATATGGAAAGCCTCAAAATTGTGCCCAAAGCGGATAACTTATGGAGCTCTTGAACAGGGTGAAACATAGGATCAACGAGAGCCATCAGTGCCCAACAGACCCCTCTTCCTTATGGGTGTGATGGGCCAAGGAACTCACTGGTAATTGTTCCCTGCCTCTGGCGCAGTGGTCATCTCCCTTGGCTGCATTTTGGAATCCCCTAGGAAGCTAAAAAAAATACTAATGCCTGGGTCCAACCCCCAGAGACTCTTAGCTAGGTAGGGTACCATCTAGTTATGGGGATTTCCTTTCAAAGAGTCCCTGGGACTCTGATAAGAAGCCAAGCTGAGAACCATTGCATTCAGAGACTGGATGGTGTGATTTAAATCCCATGTTGTGAATCAGTCTAAGGGGTAAGATTTGGGCCTCCCCTTTCCTTTGCCTCTATTTAGTTGTAGTCCTTTACTTATGCCCAGATCTTTGTTAGAAAAAATATGTTCCATTTGTGATAATATTGGTAGAGCTGAATATGGGTGGTGTCTATTAAATCAAAACAATTCTACCTTGTCAGATGTGCAGAAGCTTTCACTCTTGTTCTCAAATAAACTTGGTTTTGTTTTGGACTCTGTGGCTATTTAGATGTCATTGGCTATGTCTTTGGGAGCAGAAATCCAATGTCGGTTTTGTTTTTGTTTTAACTTCATTGGGGAACAGTGTGTTTTTCCAGGACCCGTCAGCTCCAAGTCAAGTTGTCCTTCATTCTTAGCTGTGGAGGGCGCAGCTCAGCTCGAAGTCCAGTCGCCATTTTCACTCTAGTTGCGGGGGGGCGCAGCCCACCATCCCATGCGGGAGTCGAATCGGCAACCTTGTTGTTAGGAGCACGTGCTCTCACCAGCTGAGCTATCCTGCCACCTGTTGGCAGCTCAGCGGCAGCTCAGCTCGGGCGCAGCGACACTGGCCCATGTGGGAATCGAACCGGCAACCCTGTTGCTCAGTGCTCACGCTCTAACCAACTGAGCCACCTGGCTGGCCCAATGTCAGAGTTTGTAAGGAAATAGTTTCTTACATTTATTGGGTTGTCAGAAAAGTCATGACGTATTTTTCCTGTTTTTTTGTTGCAAAAATGCGTCATGATTTGCTGGACAACCCAATAGATTGTTCCTTAAAAAAAAAAGAAGCTAGTAACAATGGAAACCAGAGTATTCTGTATCCTTGTTGGTTTGTGTCCTTTTCCAGCAAGGAGGGGTGGAATACCCACAGTTCCCTTAACTCTGCAGAAAGTGTATGGCAAACCTGAAAAGATTTGACTCGCATAGTTTGACATTTGCTAAAGGTAGAGTAGGACTGCTCTTTAAAAAGTGTATTATTGGGTTGTCGGAAAAGTCATGACAGTTTTCTGTTTTTCGTTGCAAAAATGCGTCCTGACTTTTCCGACAACCCAATATTTAAAAGCATCTCTGTATATGAATATACCCACGTGTATATAGGATTACAGTGTCAGGCTGCTTGCTGTATACTTATTTTCTCTATGAAGTTGAATCACTGACTACGGGAGCCTCCCAGCTTTCCTGTACATTGGCCAGGTGTGCTGGACATTTTCAAGTCCTGAGAGATCGTTTAGATTCCCGACATTAGGGTAGTTGAGAAAAAGGCACCAAGGGCTACCTCCCTACCGTGCTTGTGATACTTATCACCTCCATTATAAACTAAGTTTGCCTGACTTGAAAAGGAGATAAGGTAATGACTTCGATCAAGTCATTGATCAAAAGAACAAAGGTGCTAACCCGTTTAGCAGATTCCTTCATAGTACCCATCTATAACGTTTGCTAGAGGTCTGCTGGGTGGCCTACGCCATCCCATCTTAGCAGCCCCCCACCAGCGAACTGAACTGAAATGATGGCAAGGCCACCGAGAAGGTGCCTCCTGGGCGCGCCTTCACCAAGTTAGATGGGTTTGGAACAGTGCTTTGCTTCAGATCTTAGGAATGGAAGATGAATTGGCTTAAAGAACGAGAGCCAAACTGCAAGATGACTCCCATGCTGTGTCCTCCCGCCTCCCCTGTCCTGTAATCCAGGGAGACGTGAGGGCATGGAAGGGCTGAGGGCAGTCATGGATTTCTGCCATCTGGGTCAACTTGTTTTTCTGTACTTTCGCCTTCTCACCTTTTAAGATGGAAGTCCTTTGCTCCTTCAGGTAGTTTTAAGACATGAAGAACATGGCCAGACACTGTAGTTATGTTTTATGTCTTAGCCTGGGAGGATGGCCTCAGTACCAAGCTTCCAGCGGAGTCAAGTAGACTCTTCCAGGGGGCTGAGGAAATAGTTTATTCAAACTCAATGTTCTAAACACCCTCAGACCCTACAAGTTGCCCAAGGCAACTTTGCAGGAACAACCCACAAAGGGAACGATGGAGCTCTGTGGGGCCAGGGTGGGGGGCTGAAGGGACGCATCATGAATTTGGAAAGGACCATTGTGGGTTGAAAGCATGGACTTACAAAGCCATATTTTGGGGTCTTTGGCGTGCTCTAAGGAATTGATCAAGAAGGTTAAGCATTTTCCCACAACTGATATTATCCTGTTTGCTTAGAAAAAAAATCCCTTGCTTTGAAAGAGTAGGAAGCAGAATTATTTCTAACTCCAAGCTTGGGCCTTTGGGTGCTGGGGTGACATAAGTATTCTATAAGGAGTGCGCTTTTTTTTTTTTTTAACAATTCTTTTATTGGGAACAGTGTTGTTTTTCCAGGACCCATCAGTTCCAAGTCAAGTAGTTGTTTCAATCTAGTTGTGGAGGGCACAGCTCCTTGGCTCATGTGGGAATCGAACCGGCAACCTTGGTGTTATGAGCATGTGCTCTAACCACCTGAGCTAACCAGCCGCCCCTATCAAGAGCATTCTTGACATCCTGTCCTATGCAATAAATAAGGGGATCAGGCAAGTGTGAAATGACCTGGGCTTGAAAGCAGTAAGTATGCTGTTTTGAAATAGTCTATGACCTAGTTTTTGCTTTTCTGATTTCTCTGCCCTTCAACCTTACTCCAAATTACTGAGGCATTATTACACTAAAAATTCACGCCTGAAGCCCAACCCTGGGGCAGTGCTCTGGTTTGGCTGCAGTGTGGAGAGAGCGGATTGTGCTGTTTTGTACACATTTACTTCTCCCAGGCTGGTGCCAGTCAGTGCCTGGGAAGGTGATATGTGCGGAAGATGCGGTGATAATGAAAAGAAGGGACTGGGGGCTCATTCCTGCATTCATCTAATGTTTTCATGTCTGAATTATGTAAACACTAAGATTTACGATTTGAAACAGTTTTCAGTTTGAAGAACTGCTTCTGAGGAGTAGAAGTTTGCTCTGCTGAGCTTGGCTGTGGTGGAGTTGATTCTGACCCCCACTTTTGTAGGGCAGTTGTCCCCAGTGGGGACAGTATGGAGGGTGGCTCATGGGCAGTGGGAAGAATATATCAGGCCTTTGATTTATATTTATGTTCAGGCTCACCCTTATTTAGTTCCTCACTTTGAGTGTGATAAAATATACTTAAAATGTTAGTTCATTAGTACATGTAGATAATTTATAAATGAATGTTAGGTTGGACTACAAGCAATTGTTGAGATTCAACCATTTTGATCTTCAAAAACAGCAGTTATCACGGTTTAACAACATATACATGGTGGGGGTATATATGCTTCAAGCTTTTACTGTTCGTGTACAAGAATAAACTTTGGAGACCCCTGGCCAATACAACTTGCCTCAGATCCCCACTGGTACCCTCATAACTTACTTCTGTTCTCGAAGGGGCTTTACATTTTTTTTTTTTTTAAGCTGAGCCATTCTGTCACCTGTTGGCAGCTCAGCGGCTGCTCAGCTCGGGCCAGGACTCGAACTGCTGTTGCTCAGAGCTCGCACTCTTGAGCGAGCTCTTAACCAACTGAGCCACTCGGCCAGCCCAACAATTTTGAATTTGAACAAGCAATCCATGCAAATGGCATATAATCAGGTACTCTCAACGTTCAGAGAAACTTTTCTAGTAACCAACGATAGAAATGATCCCTGAAAGTGTAGTCTTTCAAATGGCATACATTCAAACGGTACTGAAGTGTTGTCAACGGAAAGTCAACCCACCTGTCCCTCAGCTACCAGCTGTCCTTCCCAGAGACAGTTTCTTGTGTATCCTTCTGGATGAACTTGGTACATATGTGAGCAATATGCACAAGTACATGTGTCTCTTACAAAAATGGAGTATATGATGCACACTGGTAGACCCTTGCTTTTTTCATCTAGCAATACAGCTTAAAGAATGTTCTATAATAGCAGCTGCCTCATTATTTCTGTTGGCTACTTAATATTCCACTGCATGTGTATACCAAAATTTATTTAACCAGTCCTCTACTGATGGCGTTATGGTTGTTTGCCATCTTCTGCGGTTCCAGGCTGTCATCATGTTTTACACACTTCAGTTTGCAAGTATGTTAAGTACTTACTTATAGGATAAATTCTTAGCAGTGGGCTTGCTGAGCCAAAGGGTGTGTGTCGAAAGGTTAAAACAAATGGCTCTCATTGTAATGTCATTGCCTAGATCATTTTTTAAAAACAAATACTTGTAATAGTTTTTATTCTTCCTTCCTTCCTTCCTCTTCTTCTCTTTCTCCTCCTCCTCCTTTTTCTTCTCTCCCTCTCTCTCTCTCTCTCTCTCTCTCCCTCTCTCTCTCTCTCTCTGTCTCTCTCTCTCTTTCTTATTCCTCCAGTTCTTGGGATTTTTTTTTTCATTGATGTTTACTTTTTTTGTTTGACATAGTCCTATTTGTTGAAATGACTTCACATTGTGTGTGTTTTTTTGTTTTTTTTTTGGTGATTCAAAAGTTTTTTGGTTTTTTTTAAGATTTTTATTGGGGAATTGGGGGATGGGAACAGTGCTGGGGAATTGGGGGAAGGGGAACAGACAAGTTGCTGTTGTTTTGTTCTTCAGTCTAGTTGTGGAGGACGTTGCTTCACTGGCCCAAGTTGGCACCATCATTGTGCTCTTCCTGGGTGAGGCAGATCAGTCGCTGGCTTCTGGACGGCCGCTCACTGCGGCTGCTGGCCGCTCACGCTGGCTGCTGGCTACATACGGTAGCCCATGGCAACCTACTGCAGCAGGGGCTGCAGCCTATGCTGTAGCCGGCGACTCACAGCAGCCCAGCCCCAGGTTGAGCTGCCGTGCACCATCTTAGCTGTAGAGGGCAGTGTCACTGGCCCTCATATGTGGGATCCGAACCGGGGCCCTCTGGCGTCCCAAGCCAGTTCTTAACTATCGCGCCACTCGGCCGGCCCTCAAAAGTTTCTTTTTAAAAATGTTTATTAAATGTATTGGGGTGACATTGGTTAGTAAAGTTATATAGGTTTCAAGTGTACAGTTCTATAATACATCATCTATATATTGCATTGTGTGTTCACCACCCAGAGTCATTTCAACATGGATGGATCCTGAGATTATCATGCTAAGCGAAATAAATCCGACAAAGTCAAGACCCGTATGACTTCACTCATACATGGGATATAAAACTGAAAGCAACAAAAGAAGACAAAGAAACAAAAACTCATAACAGACAACAGTTTAGTGTTTACCAGAGGTAAGAGGGAAGGGGATGGTAGAAGAGGGAAAAGGGGGTCAAATATATGGTGTTGGAAGGAGAATTTTCCTTGGGTGATTTGTTACCCAGAACAGTTGGAATTTCCTGTACCTTTAAACTTTGTACGTGGCATGGCTGTGACCTCTGGTGTTGCTTTCCAGGGTGGAGCTGCAGATGCCATTAAGGATTCCATGTTTCTGCCTTTGAACTTGGACTTACTTTCCATATTATTCTCTCTAGATTATTGTTTTCAGATCCTGCTCAAGATCCTTTATGCCCTTTATTCAGGCTAGTGCTGGTGGCTTGGGTGGCTAAGCTGGCCCCCTGCTCCCAAGGCAGTCATATCAGGAGGCGCCAGCAGGTGGCAGTCAGAGCACCATGAATGGCCCTGGCCTTTGCTAGGCCCCTGGGAGAGCAGCCAGAATCAGAGCCTTTGGACTCTTTCCCAGTGACTGTCCTCCTAGCACCATGCCCAGCTCAGTTGAGGTGGGGGTGGGGTTGCCCAACCCTTTTCTCCCACCTAGTTTTGCAGCCATTTCTTAAATGAGTGCGCAGTTTAAGATTGCCAGCAGCTGCCTGGAGTTGGGCTTCAAGAGGCCACACCCCAGGGTGACAGCTTGGTGCCTACACCCCCTCCAGGAACTAGCTGGAAGGATTTACATACCGTGGCCTGGGATGGCTTGGGTTTCCTTAATTGTAGGGCCCTACTTCCTGTCTCTTTCAGCCAAATCTCCCACACCCTTCCCATGAACTAGGAGGTCCCCAGCAGGCTCTTACTCACCGCCCTCTACTCCACCCACTCTGCTATGTTCTAGGGGGGGAAAAAAACGAGCCCGAAGTTTGAGAAGCCCTGGGGCAACAGTGCTAACCCTTGGCCTGCTTTCTTTGGGGGCGTGAGGACCAGCTGGGTCCGGAGCTCAGGCCGATGACAGGCCCCCCTTCTCCTAGGTTTGTGTCCCATTGAATCTGTTTCTCTGTTGCTCACCCTCCGTCTCCCACAGAAACCTGCTCAGCACCTCCTTCACGCAGGAGTCTTGCCCTTCCCTGTGGGGGAGACAAACTGTGGCTTTTCCAGGAGCCACGTGGGAGGTGGGCGGGCACGGAACTTCACTGGTGGGAAGAGGGAGGAAGCGGCAGCTGCAGTGGTGAGCGGTGACCTCTTCCCAGCCTCTCCCCCACACCACCCTGCAGGAGACTAGCCATGTTTAGGGTGCTAGCAGCACTGGGGGCCCCTGAGAGAGATGCTTTCCTGGAGCCCCAAAGCGCTCCTGCTCCTAGTTGAGGTCCCCAGATCTTTAGGGACTGCTGGGTTTTCCTCCGGCTGGTGAAGGGGGCGGGGACATCCAGCGCAAGGAATTTCATCCTGTTGTGGGCCAGCTAATTCTCCGCCAGGGAGGCTGAGGTCTCTGCAGTCACCCTGCACCCTACGCGGGGTTAACCTGCGTGTGAGACAGAACTCGCAAGAAAACTCAGGGTCAGGCCCCTGCTGGTGAGAACCCCAGGGTGGGGTGGGTGGCATCTGGGGGTTCAGGGAAGGGCTGGCAGGAGGCCATTCTCTGTGAGCTCCACAGGGTCATTTCTCAACAAAGCAGGAATTTGCATACTCCTTGGTTTCCCCATCAGCTTCTAGGCTCCTGGAACCAGGAAAACTAGAGGAGAACGGGCTTGCAGGGCAGCTAACCGAGTTGATTGCCTTCAGCATTTGATCCCCTCCAGTGCTGAGCTCAGCCTCAGCTCCTGCCTCAGGATCACTGCCCAGGCCCTGCCACTCTCTCCTTCACACCGGCCAGAGCTCGTGTGAGCCTTACCAGCTGTCTTATGAGGCAGGACAGGAAGCCGAGGCTGTGGGAGGGGAGTTGCCCAGGGCCACGCAGCCAAGGAAGGGGACTTGAACCCAGGCCTTCTTCCTCTCATGCTGCCATCTCTCAAACTGAGATACCCTCTTGTCAAATCTAGACAGACACAGGGATCATTGTGTCCCTTTTATAGGTAGAGACACTGAGGCCCCATTCGTAAAGGTGCTTCAGAGGGTGGGCCAAAAGGTGGTGGGGAGAACTTTGCAGTTAAATCCCAAGTCATGGGAAAAAAACATCCTGGGCATTGGGCCTGGCAGCCTCTGAGTGGCTCTGCCTGGAAGTCAGATTGAGAAAGAGGCCTGGAGGGGAGGCTACAAACCCTGTTGGCCAGCCCAGCCAGGCTGGGGCTGCCGGGAAAGCACAGGGCACAAGCTCAGGCCAACAGGGCACTGAACTGACTCAATCCTCCCCAGAGCCCAGCCCTAGCTGGCACCTGCCACGTGGGCTCTGATGCCCTTGTCGGTGCCTGTCAACAAGCCAACAGGGCCAGATATGGCCTCCAGACATTAGCCAAAACCAGCGTGGACCTGCTGTCCCTGCCCACTGCCACCTACCTGTAGAATCTGGCCTCTTCTTCAAAAGCAGAAGCAGCAAATGACCAAGAGTTCAGCTCTGGTCAGGGACCAAGTGTGAGCCCTCAAGTCTATGGACAGTCAGCAGGTGGGATGAAAGTGGGGTGAAGGCACCCTGTTCTGCTTCCAGGTCACTCTGGAAGCCTCATGGCCTTCAGGCTCCGCTGTGGTGCAGATAGAGGGGCTTGGTGGCTGGGGCTGTTGGGATCTGCTGCTGAGCAGGTGAGTGGGGTGGTCATGCCCGTCACGCTAGAGGGATTCATATATGAATGTTGTAAACGTAAGAGGATTACGAGGTGTGTGGTGGAGGGCACCCCACCACCTCCAACCCTCTCAGGGGCCTGAGAGTCACTGCAAACTAGTGCCTGGAGCCCTCCCTCCCTCAGGTTTGTGGGGCCAGGGGACCCAAACTTGAGGCCCTGCCCATCTGTCCCCCCCGCCCCCCCCCATGGGACCTTGGGCAAGTCACTCAGCATTGCCAGTGGCTGATAATGAACAGGACAGTCTGGTATTTTTGCTTCTTGTCCCATAAAAACAAAGGCCCATAAATAGCCTTTTAACCTGGAGTACAGTTCTTGATTAAAGATGTTTTATAAATAAGGCAATGAGATTTCTTTATGCAGAAAAAGCCTCCCAAGGAGGCTGGAAGCCACAGGCAGGGGGCACCTGGAGAGCACGCTGTGGACTGTGCAGGGACTCCTGCCTTAGGTGCAGGCTTCTAAAGAATGGTCAACACAGGGAATGGGGTGGGGGCCTACTATGCAGGGAAATCGCCAATGTGGCATTTTCAACATGCTGCACAGCGGCTCTGTGGTAAAGCGGTTTCTTGGGGGAAAAAAAATTACAGCTACCATAAAAGCTTCATAAACAATAAGTACAAATTAGGTGAGATGTTCCAAGATATGCGTATAATTATTAAAATTGTATTTTTTCTTTTTTTTTTTTAAAGATTTTTATTGGGGAATTGGGGGATGGGAACAGACAAGTTACTGTCCTTTGTTCTTCAGTCTAGTTGTGGAGGACGTTGCTTCACTGGCCCAAGTTGGCACCATCATTGCACTCTTCCTGGGCGAGGCAGATCAGTCGCTGGCTTCCGGACAGCAGCTCATGGCGGCTGCTGGCCGCTCACGCTGGCTGCTGGCCGCTCACGCTGGCTGCTGGCTACACACGGTAGCCTACAGCAACTCACTGCAGCAGGGGCTGCAGCCTACGTCGCCGGGGACTCATGGCAGCCCAGCTCCAGGTTGAGCTGTTGTTCAGCCTCTTAGCTGTAGAGGGCAGCATCACTGGCCCTCATATGTGGGATCCGAACCGGGGCCCTCTGGCGTCCCAAGCCAGCTCTTAACCATCGTGCCACTCGGCTGGCCCTCAAATTGTATTTTTTCCATTTCCCCCTGCTGATGGTGTTTGGGGATCATCTGACAGCCCAGCTTTTCACTTAAAATATTTAACATTTATACCTTAGTTTTTCATCTTAAACAAAAAAAAAAATGTATATTCCTGCCTGGCCTCTTTCCTTCTAGGGACAGATGAGAAGGTTGAGATGGTGGATGGAGGGGAACACAGCCCACAGAAAGCAACACCAGAGACCCTTTAATGAGCACTTACAATGTACCAGGCATTGGGCCACACACCTAACATGTATGATGGCATGTACTCCTTACAACAACCCTGTAAGGTAGGTACCATTTTTATCCCCACTTCATAGATGAGGAAACGGACCAAGAGAGGGGTCGTCACTTGCCCTAGGGGACATAATTGGTGGCAGAGCCAGCTCTTTAGTTTGGGAGCACGAACCCTAAGCTCCTACTTGGAGGTTACCCTGGCATTGCCTCTCCAGGCTGCCTTTGCCCCTGCGCCGCTCTGCAGTTCTGGGCCTAGAACATGGCAATTCCTGGGAGGACAGGGCCTAAGCTGAGCACCCAAGGGATCCCCCACCCCACCCTACCCAGCTCCCCTGGAAGCCATCTTCTCAGCCAGGTGGTTTCCCATCCTTAGCTCTGGTCACAGAAAAGGGGAACAGCCCCCGTGCCCAGTACCGCCCCCCCTCTCCCCCACAGTCTCAGGACTCCAGGCGGGTTCCCACTTCTGCTTCGCGCTTTCCCCCACCCCTGCCTGTGTCCATGCCGCCTCCTCTCTAGGCCCGGCCCAGGGCCTCAGGAAGGATGCCTCTGCCCCAAAGGGCCTGAGCACTCTCGGTGGAGCTCGGCAGGTCTGAGGTGCATACCTCTGACATTCCTTCATCCAAAGGCCGGCTCGATCCCCCAAGCACACCACCACCTCTTAAAGGGGCTCACATTGTACTTTATTGATGTGTTAAGGGAGGCAAGGATTTCCCACTTAGAATATGAACATTACACACATCCCCCGCCCCGTGTGGAAGAGTGAGATGATTCCAAGTGCGGAGGGTGGGGGAGGAGACGACGGGGGCAGAGGGACAGGGGAACTGAGGGGACGAAAGGTAGGTTAAAAAGCATCTTGCTTACTAACATGAAGCCTCATGCCCTGCAAGAGAGCATGGATGAGGCCTCATTGGCTTAGAGGGGGGCCCTTGGAGGGCAGGCACACAGTGCCCAACTCGCCAGCCTAGGCCGGCATCCCAGGGCCAGGATGGAGGTGGGGGACTGTGCAGAGGGCCCCCAGCCTAGGCCTCTGCTCCCCCGGCCTCCCTTCCCGCCCTGAGACAAAGGAGGGTTTGGGCTTCAGCCACGGACCACGGCCGTTACCGGCAGCGTCTCCTTAAACTACAGATGCAATGTGCATCAACAGGGTGATCACTTCTGACCCACTTGGGCAGATGGCTAGAGGTGCCAAACGGGCCAGAACCAATCCTACAGTATCTTTGGTTTGTGGGTTCCCTTCCCTACTTTAATCCTTCCTGTCTAGCCTCCAGGGTGGGCCTCAGGCCTGGGAATGGGTTGTGCCATAGCCTGCAGCCCAACCTGACAGCCCTCAGAGGGCCGACAGCACTGCCTACTCACTGAGGTGCTGGGACTTGTAGGAGAGGATCTCAGCAGCCAGCTGCTGGGGGTCCAGGAGCTGCGGGAAGCGCCCCATCACAGCCTCCACCAGGCGTGGTGGAAAGACACCACACAGTTTGGTGTACACACTGGCTCGCTCCTTGGCCAGGCTGTCTGCCCCACCCCACGGGCCCCTTTCAGCCCCTGGGCCCCGCACCTGGGGCTCCTGTAGGACGGGGGTGGGTGGAGGAAGCTGGTACGGCTCAGACCAGTACTCTCGAGGTGGAAAGGCGGCTGGTGAGGGTGCGTAGTCAGCAGGGACGCTGAAGTGGCCAGCACCCACAGCCCGTCCAAAGGCAGAGAAGGCTGGAGTGGCTGGGAGCTCAGCCCCGTAGGGGCTGTAGCCAGCGTAAGGGCCTCGAGGTGGGCCCGGCTCACCAGGGCCTCCGCCTCGAACCCCCCACAGTTCTGGCATCAGGCTCTCCAGGGAGCCAATGCCCGAGTCCAGGCAGTCCTGGGAGGTGTATGGGAGAGAATCCGGGGTCTGTGGAAACCAGTCTGTGGGCCCAAAGCTGCTGCCACTGCCCCCACTGGGTGGGAGGCTCCTGCCTGCAGTCGCCGGGGCAAAGGTCTGGGTCAGACCGTCTCGGTGGGGCCCTGGGGATGCTCGGGCTCCCAGTTTCTTCCCTTCTAAGCTGCACTGCTCACGCTCTGTTGGCTGAGAGCCAGGCTGAGGTGGAGGTGAAGGCCGCCGGCCACATTTGTCCTTGCCCGGGGCCCTAGGGGGCAAGAGGAGGGCATTGGCACGGAGCTCGTCGGCCACAGAGCGCTGGGGGCGGCTTGGCCGCTCTGGATGGAAGAACCGGCACTTGATCCCGTAGGTGCACTTCCTCCCTGGAACAGAAGGAAGGGGGACTCTAAGCACGGGAGCTTCAGGACTAGGGGTGGCACAGGAAACTTGGGGTTAAGTGGCCCCCAAGAGGAAGTTCTCGGGGCACAGGCCCACTTAGGTGAGAGGAAGGGGAAGGAGTGAAAGGCAGTGGAGGGTAGAGCGGGTCTCTTACCATAGGGACATGGCTGCTTCCTGTGCTCGGCCGTGAGTGGCTTCTTACGCAAGAAGTTGTCTAGGCTTGGCCCGTGTCGGCCCAAGGGGTCATCGGGGGGCATGAACCTGAAGAGCACGTGGGAGACATGAGGGGATCTTCCAAGTGCAGGTAAGGGGCAAGCCTCACCCGGAAGGACTGCCTGAAGGGAGGGGAGGGGATTCCAGTCGAGGGCCATAGCTGTGGGCAACATTAGAGCAATCCTTGTTGCTGGGAGCTGAGGCTGTCGGGAGGCCAGTCACCTTAAAATCTGAGTCTAAGGCTACATCCACTGGCATCTGGTGAGAGATTCAATCCTGGGAACTGGGGAGGCTTTCTTGGAACTGGGGAGGCTTTCTTGGAACCACTGACCACATCCTGTCACAAATGTTACTGCTCTGTTCCCCAAATCAAAATGCCTCTACTCGGGCCTGGTCCCAACCTGACCCTTCCTATGTGGGGTCATGTCTGTCTCAGTCCCAGAGCTGCCTGGATCTGAGGCCACGGGTGCCCTAGCAGAACTCCCCCAGCCCCACCCCTCCCGGGGGCACCTCTGGTTTCCCCTCAGGACTCAAAGGCCATCAGCGCACCCCCGCCCTCCGCGGGCACTCACTTGTCGTTGACGAAGGAGTACATGAGCAGCCGCTCCTCGATGAAGCGCTTCCACTCCTGCCGCTCGCCCTGGAGGTCACGGTACGTGTCGTTGGAGACCACCACCCCGTCGGACTCGAAGGCCAGCCTCACGATGAAGCGGTCGTCGTAGCACACCACCCGCTTGCCACCCACGCGCCGCGACGGCGTGAACACCAGGATCTTCTTCTTCTCCAGTTCCCGCAGGATGTGCTGGTCTGGGAGGAGGCAGGGACACAGGTCAGGGCCCAGCGTGGACCCAGAGCCGGGCCTGTAGGGCTCCCTAACCTCCTGGTGGCGGCACAGGGGCTCCTGCTCCAGATGCACGAGGACAGGAAGTGGCTCTGCTGAGGCCACTGCCACACCCCAGCCCCTCACCTGGGCCTTGGCACATAGTTTGCTGCCTGAGAACCAGACCCGCAGGTCAGCTCAACAAAGGCTCCTGAGCACAGAAGGGGCCATGTCCTTTCCTTCTGGACATCAGGTCTGTTCATGCCTGTTCGCAGGTGGGCTTGGCTTTGGTGCTCACCTAGCCCGTCTCACAGGGGTCTGTGAGTGAGCCCCGGCTTGAGCTGGGGCAGGAGACGTGTCTTGGCTCTGTCCCCGGAATAGCCAGGACAAAGCTACCAGAACCCATCCAGAGGGGGACACTTTCCACAGCCAGCCTGCCGCCAGATCTCAAGGCTTCTAGGGAAACAAACTTGGTTTTTTACTCCCAAAGGCTGGGGTTCTTGTTGTAAGAACCCCAGCTAACATTTATCGAGGATTTGCTATGTGCACTCTTCTAAGCACTTAGAACGTATTAACTCATGAGATCCTTATGACAATCCTGTGAGGTGGTCAACCCCCCACCCATGTCTAAGGGGCAGGAGCCAGAGCCCACAGGCTCAGCCACCACACTGTGCTGGCCCTGTGCCACCGGGGACGTGGAGAGCGCACCCCACCACTAGGTGAGCGAGGTGTCTGGTACTCAGAGGCAGAGGCTGCCTCCAATGGTCACTGTTCAGAGCGGGGATGCTGAGGACAGCACAAGCTGGGAAAAGAAATGTGGTCCCTGTTTGAGGCCTAGATGTTGTCGGTCACTTCCCAAGGGTCTTTCCTGGGGAAAATCAGGGCTCCTGGGGCAGCAGGTCCATCCCCGTCCAGAGGTACCAATTCACCTGTGATGGGCACATCGGGCCGAGGCTGCTCCTTCCTCCAGGACGGTACAAACACCGTGATGTCTGTGTGGCCCCGCTCCAGAAACCAGTTCACGGCCAGCTGGATGCCCCGGCAGGAGAAGACCTCCTTGTTCCCATGGCTGGAGGGGACAGAGGGGTTGGGGTCAGCCCACCAGGGTGGCTCACCTGCCATCCTCTAGGCCTGAGCAGGAGGGAGGTGGGTCCCCCTCCAGCCCTGCCCCGGCTCAGGCCACAGGCGGGGGCCCAAGGCCTGCATTCCCTCCCGGTTCTCACAGTGCCTGGGATGGCCAGACCTGGGGCTTTCCCTGATATTCCATCTCCCGACAGTGAGGAAACGCCCAGGAATCTGGCAGCACTGGCTCCCCACGTGGGGGAGGGTCAGGCTGCTTGCAACACACCTGGGGGTGGGGGAAGGAGGAGACTTCTGGTTCCGCCCCACCGGAGGGTGCTGGGACCAAGGGGACACAGATGTACATACGCAGACTGAGTCACCACCCCTCCCTGGCCTGGGGGTGGGGGTGCGGGAGGCACCCGCCCCAGCTAACTGAAGGGAAACCAGATTGCTTGGGATGAAAGTTCAGTCCTGACACTGCAGGAGCTGGGGCTGGAGCGCTAAGGGGCAGGAGCCACGAGCCCAGCCTCCCAGGCAGGCAGGCAGGCAAGACGGATGGAGGCGGCTGCCACGGAGCCTTTCTGTTTGAAAGTGAAAGGATACTGCTTTTCCTCTCAAGACAGCCAATTCCCCAAAATGCTTGCACTGCCTTGGCCCCACAGAAGGGCATGACCCGAGGCAGGACCTGGCCCCTTAGAAGGGCATGACTCGGGCAGAACCCGAGTCAGGACCAGGAGACTCAGCAGGACAGCTGGGACACGGGACGTGTGCCGCGGTCTCATGACCAGACCTCACACCATCCTAATGGGGCAGGATCCAGACAAAAGCCCTGAGGCCCTGCTCGGTTGTCTGCAGCCTCCTTAAGAATGGCCCGTATCAGTGGGACAACTTTCCTGTTTGCTTGAGGCCAAAGACAGTCCAGCCAAGTGGAGGGTCCCACTGGCTTTCTGGGAGGGTGGAGCTCTCAGGTCATACTGGGTATGGTGGAAGGGCTCCGGGACCAGGTTTGGATGGGGGCTGGAGGCCAGCTGGGGGACCCCTCCCCAATAGTCCCTGCCCCCACTCACTAACCCCTCAATGAACAACTCAGACTCTTATGTTTGGCAAATAAAACAGAATAAACGTTACGCAAAAGAAGCAAGTCCATGGCCGACCACATCCTGTGAGTGGCTTGCGGGAGGGGGGGGTTGGGGGTTGATAGCTGGAGCCCCAAGAGAAGGTAGAGAGAGGGAGATGGGGCAGCTGGGGGACACAGAGGCTGTCTGGGGGTGAGGCTGGGACTCCCAGGTCTGAAGATCTCTGTAAATTGTAGGGAAAGCAAAGTTCAGCCTGAAGATGGTGCTCATCCCCGCCAGGTGGGGCCTCCAGGCCAGGTGCACCCTCCAGCCTGCTTCTGATAAAAGGTAACATTTACTGAGAGCTCTGAGCCAAGCCCTGATCTGTGTGCTTAACAGTGAATCATCAGCAAGCTTCTGAGGAGGGTACTATCATTAAAAGGCTCCTTTCCCCTTTATTCAGATGAGAAAATGGGGGTCCACAGAGGGCAACGAGTTGCCAGCATCACAGAACAGTGACTGTGGAACAGAGATGCAAACCCCAGTGCCTGTGCTCATAACCACCATGGGTATTGATGCTCAGACAGTTGCCAACCCTGACAGTGAGGATGAAGTGGGGATTAGCAGGTACCAGGTGCATCGCACACCTCCTTGCTTCATCCTTATAAGGCTGGCTGCAAGGAAGGAAAGCAAGGCTCTGCGATTCATCTAAGATTCCCCCAGCTGGTGGTAAGAGACAGACTAGGACCACTGGATTGCCTTCCTGTTCCTAACAGCAAGATGTGAAGTTTACTAAAAAACAAAACTCCCCAACTTGAATTTGAATAGTGTTAAGGGGGTGGGGACCGGCTGGGGAGACAGGAAAAATTATGCATATCACCAACTCCTGCTCCTCCATCAGGACCCAGGTGAGGTGTCACCACCTCTGAGAAGCCTTCTCTGACCTTTCAGGATGGGTCACATCCCTGGTTTGTCCTCATAATGCCCATTGTAGTGAGAGGGACTAAAATTAGCTGTAAAGAGGCACTCCCCGCCTGGGAGGACAGTATCTGATGCTCTGTTTCCCCTATCGTGTTACTCCCTTCCCTGGGCCTTCTGTTCTGTGTCCTCAAGACCATGGGGGTGTGATCACCTCTGTCTTGGCTTCCTCTCTCAGGTGTGCAGTCTGCACATGCATCCACCTACCTCTTTCTATACACACGTGTGTACATGCATATGCCCCATCCTAGGCCGGGATCTTCAAGCCCTGGGACTTGGGATGCCAGGGCTTCCAGGACAGCATACTGCCTTTGGGCATCAAAAACCTTGGCTGCTCTCAGCTGCCCTAGCCTCCAGAATATTCCCTTGGCAGGTAGTCAGAGTCTTCCTCTTGGCAGAAGTAGAACACCAGATACTGCCCTTCCAGGCCGGGAGTGCCTCCCTACAGCTAACTTTAGTCCTCCTCGCTGCAATGGAGGAAGCTCTGCTGGCACAGGAAAACCAGATAGCCTCCCACTCCCACCACAGCCCTGTTTTCCCAGAAGGTCTGGGCCCCCAGCCTGGCTAAGTAGGCACTGGTAAGATGTCTGAGTACACAGGAGGTTCCTGCTCAGCGGCTCCCACCCTAGGACAGAAGCCAGGCCCGCCTATACCCAGGTGAAAAGATCTGCCTGGGCTGGGCCCGGCTAGAGAAAAATTCCCTTAGAAGGAAACAGAGGTGAATTTCCCCACGATTTGCATACGGTGGGGGCTGGCCCGCCTGCCCCTGTGGGGGAGGGGGCAGCAGGGCAGGAACACAGTAGCAGCTGAGACAGGAAGTTTGAGGCTGGAATTCCCCTCTTGCTTTGGCCCGAGCTCAGAAACCCCCAGCGGCTCGCCTCGCCGGCCAGCTCCGCCAGTCACCCGGCTCCCGCCGCCGGCCCCTCCTTCCTCTCAGGCCCCTCCTCCTGCCAGGATACAAACACACACAGCACATGGCTGCCCCGGACTCAGCACTCGGCCAAAGCCCCTGGAGGAGGGAGTCACACACACATCCAGGCTCCGTGCCCAGCCACACGCTGCTGAGCCCCGAGAGTGGACCCCTAACTTGCAAAGCGCAGGTTGTGACCAGCTGCCACTGGCCTGTGGGAGCCGGCTTTACCCAACCGTCCACCCAGGCTCAGCCCATTTCAGAGATGGGGAGACTGACGTAAAGGTGGCTAAGCTGGGCCAGGACCAGCCAGACAGCTCTGACTTGGCCCAGCTGGGCAGGGTGTGGGAGGGGTAGAGGGGGCAAGGGCATTGGGGCCTCAAGCAGCCCACCTGGGAGATGCGGGACAGCAACAAGTGAAGGAGCCCTCCCACTCCCACCGGCGTCTGGAGTCTCTGTCCATGCCCGCTGGAGCTTTTCCTGGTGAAGGATCTGCCAGCCCTGACTCACCAGCCCACCTTGGAGGGGCTGGGAGAAAGCAGGGCCAGAGGACAGAGCCTGGACTGAGAGGGGCCTGGGATCCCTGGGGTCAGGAGCAAGCCTGGCCCCATCCCACCCCATTCCCTGTTAAAGCATGCATGGGGGAGGGGTCCTGGGATTGGGTCCGGGACCCTGGGGAGCTCCCAGAGCCCAGTCCAGCCCACGTGGCTCTAGTCAAATCATAACGGACCCAAGTCACAGTTCACCTGACGCCAAAGCATTAGGCCACCCGTTTATACCTCCCGCATAGAGCCAGATCCTCGAGGTCACTCTTGGTCACAACTACGAAGGCCTCAGTAGCTGGGCCTGCTTCCATGGGAGCCCACGGCGGAGCTAACAAGGCCTCAGAAGCCCCAGACTCTGAATAACTGTACTTGCAACAACTACCGCTGTTTCCTGGGCAGTTCATTCACTCCTCACAACCACCACCTGAGGGGCTGGGCTAGGCCTGTCTTACAGAGGGATGAGGAGGAAGGCTCAGAGAGGGGGCCTCCGGGCTCCTCTGTGAGTGAGCTGGAGCCTGGCCTCACCCCTTCCACTGTGCTGCCTCCCGTCACAGGAGAGCACTGACGGTGCTGGCCCTTGGGGAGAGACGAGAGCAGAGGGTGAGCTCTGCAGACAGGGGACCAGAGTTTGAATCCTTGCTCCACTGCCCCGTAGTGTGACCCCGAGCAAGCCTTTGAGCCCCCGTTCTCATCCCTAAAACATTCCTAGCAAACCCGCTTCCAAGGATGACAGGAGCCTCAATGATGAGCTTTTCCTTCCTCTCCACTAGTGTGTGAGAAGAGGTCAACTCCTTTCCAAAGGCCCCTCTACCAGGGTACAGAGACACAGGGCCACCATTCCTGAAGGCCACATCTTGGCCACAGAAGTGACACGTACCTCATGGCCACGTTGCTTCCGTCGATGACCACGGGCCTTAGATCGCTGTCCTCCTTGTCCTCCTTTGGGGGTGAGGGTTCCAGGATGGGAGCCTTAGGGGTGCCTCCACCCCGGGGGACCAGAGGCAGCTGAGGGCAGGGGTCTGGCGAGGCCTGGCGCTCCCGCTCAGCTGCCGATCCATGTTTCAGCAGCTCGCCCAGCACTGTGTTGGTGTCCGCCTGGACCCCCAGCTTCTGCAGGACATTGTGGATCTCAGCAGATGAGTAGCCCAGCTTCCTGAAGAAGTCCACCTTCATCTGCAGCTCAGCAGCAGCTGCCTCCTCAGCAGGGGGCTCCTGGGCCGACCTCGGGGTACCTTGGTAGCTGTGGCTGTCTTCAAGTTCCCACAGACTCATGGCGGGGGGCTGGCTTCCTGGGTGGGCCTCTCTCCACCTGGCCACTCACAGCTCAGACGGGTGGTAGGCACCTGTCACAGCTCCTTGGAGGACAACCACAAGGGTTAGGATTGGAGAATGGCGCGCTCCCATCGCCCCACCCAACAGGATGAGGCAACACTGCCTGGTGACACTGTGCAAATCCATCTTCCTGTGTTACCTCTTTTAGTCCTTTCAAAAGCTCTCCCAGCTAGGGATCATCGTTCGCATTGTACAAAGGATGAAACTGAGCCACAGCCATTAAGAACTTGCTCAAGGTCATCCGGCTGTTGGCTGGTGGCGCAAGGATTTGAACTTAGGCAGTCTGACTCCATCTCCTATCTCAAGCTCAGTCCCGCAACAACTCAGGGGACCCAGAAATCTTGGGAGGCCTCAGAGGACCTCGCCGCGCTCCCACAGCTGCGGGGCGGGGCGCTCGGATGGAAACCCCGGGCTGGAAGTGCGTTGTGTGTGCGTGTGTGGGGGGGCCCAGGGGGTTCCCCACTGAGGCCATCGCCTCCGCCTGCCCGCCCTGCTCTGATTCAGACCCAGGAGGCGCAGCGTCCGTGGCCAGACTCCTGGACCGGGGGAGGAGAACTTTCCGGGGAGAACCAAAGGCGAGAAAAGTTGCTGGGAAACTCTGGTTGGCCGCCGGAGACGCGGAGGCTGTCCCAGCTCCGAGCTCCGGAGCTTGGTCCCCCCTCCCCTAGCTTCCTTTCAACTTGGGCTAAGTTGGAAGGGGTCCGAGGATAAGCAAGGCCGGAGAGGACCGGCCCCACATCCCTCCTTGTCCGGTGAATCCAGCCGGGGCCCTCCCCGCCCCCTCCTCTGCCCGGCCTGTGGCCCTGGCACTCGCACTCGCCCTCGCCCCCGCCCCTCCGCGCGCGACTCACCCCGCCGTGCGCCTGCCGCAGCAGGCGGCGTCTCCATGGGGCCGAGTCCCTGGGGCAAGGCCCGCCGCGCCTTTATACCGGGCGGTGGGCGGGCAGGTTGCGTTAAGGACCTGACGCGGAAGCCGATCAGGGGAGGAGCGAGTCGACCCAGGCAGCAGGGGGCGGGGCGGCCACCGCCCCTTCCTGCTCCGCCCCGCCGTCGGCCCCGCCCCGCCCCGCCCCGCCCGTGCTTCTGGTCCCGCCCCCGCGGCTGAGCGCTCCGGGGCCCGCCCAGAATAGGGGCGGGGGACCCGGGGAGGCAGCCCCTTCCGTGGGCCTTCAGGCCCTGGCAGCGAGGAGATGCGGAGGGTGGGAGTGCACGGTCCGCTAGTGGAACCAGATACGCTCACCGAGTCAGACACGACTGACCGAGGTGCTTACATAGATGCAAGGACAGGTACAGCCAGGTACGTTCAGATATTTAACAAGTACGCTGCGACTGACTAAGGTACAGTCAGGGACGCATTGAGTGAATCAGGTACACAGAGGTTTGTTCATGGACCGTTGGAAGTAGGTTCATAGTCATAAAGGCAGGTACGCCCAGACAGGCAGTTTTCAGATGGAGACAGGAACACTCAACAGGTACACCGTGACTAGAGCAGGTACACAGATGTGGAGCCGCGCTCAGGGCCACTCTTGAAATAAGGACCTTACCAGCATAAAAGGTAGGTGCATACAACTAGGAGATACACAATTAGGAGGCGGAAAACCAGGAAAAGCACATGCGTTTACACCAGTCACTATGTGAGTTTTCACAGCATGCTCTCTTACAAGGCTACAAAACTCAGAAACTCATAAGAGGCCACCCACCCCTCCACAGGAAAGCTTTTTGGTTCCCAGGTCAACCAGCAATGATCCCACACTGAGCACAGCACTTTACAATATACCTGTGGGCTTAGGTGAGGAAGACAGAGGCTATTATGCCTAGTTTACCCTTGAGAAATTCAGAAAAGGTTTAACTGCCCCAGCTGGAAAGACTTGGAACCAGGACCAAGAGCCCCCATTCCTGGGCAGCAGCTGCCACCTTTCCCACTTTGAAACCACCAGTGACCTAGGGCAGAGGGGAGGATCTTCTGGTGGAAGAGTGAGGCCTGGGACCTGCTCCCGAGTGTGTGTCTGTGTACAAAGGGAACACAGAACCCACAAGCTAGAGGTTTTTGGCAGTGCCACCAGCTCATTTTGCAAATGAGGAAACTGAGGCCCAGGGAGCCAAAGTACTCAATACTTTTTCCGGTGTGTGTCAATACTTAAACAATCTCTCTGCCTTATCATAGGGTAGCATCGTGGAAGGTTGGTATTAGTATTGTAGCTAAAATTTGTTTATTGTAAAAGATACCATATACTCTATTCATGTGCAGCTTACTGGATGATGATGATGATGATGATGATAATAATAAGAAAGCCATGTATCTATCACCTAACTTAAAAAACAGACCTGTGCCAATACCTTGGAGGCCCCCGTGTGCCTCCATTGCAACCTCCTCCCCTCATCCTAAAGAGCCACTTGCCTGATTTTTGTTCTAATTGTGCTAATCATTTCCTTGATTTTCTTTTTAGTTTTATCACCCTTGTATGAATCCCTAAATAACATATTGCTTAGTTTTGCTTTTTCTTTTTACTTTGTGCAAACGGGATCATTCTATATGATTATGTGACTTCATTTTTTTCATGCAATATTGTTTTTAAAATCCATTTCTATTGCTTATGTGCCTATAATTTATATACTTTACTATTGAATAATATTCCATTTTAGAATATACCACTGGTTATTTATCCATTCTCCTGTTATTGGATGTTGTTTATAGGATGTTTTTTGGTGTTTGCTAATACAAAGAGTGTGCTTTGGCTATTCTTGTACCTATCTTAATGCAGTTGTAGAGTTGAGGAAACGGGTGCTCAGAAAATCAGAAAGGTGAGGTCACTTGCCCGGGGCCCTGGAACTGGTGCAGCTGGAAACCACACAGCTCTCTCTAAGGCATCCATCTTCACATTGACACCTGCTTCTTCTGAGACCACCCCAAAGAAGGAGGGAGTGTGCGTTTCTGGTCGGTCCTGAAGCTGTTCCTCTGGGCGTGCCTGACCCTGCCTAGCCAACCCCCTGCTTTGTTGCCTGGTCATCTTTAAAGACCCCAGAATGTTCCCTCCTCTGTGCCCCCCAGGAACACAGCCACCTCCTCACATGCTTACAGCCACTCGCGATGAGTGCTGTGTATGCTACACCCCTCATCTTCCCAACAGCCCCTTTTGGAGTTGAGAAAAACTCGGCGACGTTAGGCATTTATTTATTGCGGTAACTACCTTTAAGATAGGAAAAATAGTAGGCAGTGAGTCCAGGTTAGTAATCATAATGATAAGTCAACCACAGTGATAATGTCTCACATGTATGAAGTACTCACCAGGCGGCGGGCACTGTGCCAGCAGCACCTCGCAGGCAGGCACTCCGTGCCTTTGTATCTGCTTCTTCCCCAGCCCAGGAGTGTCCTCCCCTCCCCACGGCTGTCTGGCCAATTCTGTTCATCTTGTTGATGATGTCACCTCCTCTGAGGCCTGCCGGGACTCCTTAGATGCTGAGTTGCTTCCTCCTCTGTGTTCCCCCTGTGTCCCTACATGCTGGATTGTGGTTGCCTGCGGGGACCTCCTCTGGGGCCAGGACTGGGCTGGGACTCCACTTGTGCTCCCAGGCTCCATGCTGCTCAGCACTGTGCCAATGGGAGCCAGCGGGACTTCAATGAGTCATGCAGCTCGGGTGCCCTCCCAGAGCGAGTGCAGTTTCACTCTCTTCCGGCTCATAGAGGCTGCTCTTTCCCAAGAAGCCAACTCTCTTCTGCAGAGCCCAGTACTGCTCGGGGAACTCCTGCTCCACTTACAGCTGAATTTTGCAAACCTTGGTCCCAATCCCCAGGAGCCCTCTGGATTTCATGGTGCCCAGCCCCCACACACATCCTTCTGCCTCTTGCATACCTGTCTCAGTGGCTGAGCTTGCCAGTTTCCTTCCTGGAACCTTCCTGCTCTCCCACCACCTGCCTGCACCTGGCCAGTCTGGATGAGGCCTGCAGAGCTCCAGGACTGGTCACCCCCTGGGTGGGGGTGGGGGTATCAAGGCTGGAGAGGGAAAGATCCCAGGAATTAAATTACCTTGGCCTTTAGTAGCTCCACTGGGTATCTCTGGGGAGGACACAGGAGCTAAGCTACGGTAGTCAGGCTGTCTCCAACCCTTAGCAGATTGGCTGCAGAGGTTAAATTCAACTCTCCTGAAAATGGAGAAAAGGCCAGGTCCCTTCCATGTTTTGAGGCTCCTGGTATATTTACCAAAGATTTGTTACACAGAGATACAAAATCTGAAGTATGTCTTAAACTGTAATTGAACAAATTAACTCTTTACCATGTAGTCAACTGCAGTGTGATATATTTGGACTATTGACAAGATAATTGGAGGATTTGTGTTTTTTTTTTAAAGATTTTATTGGGGAATTGGGGGAAGGGAACAGCGCTGGGGAATCAGGGGAAGAGGAACAGACAAGTTGTTGTTCTTTTGTTCTTCAGTCTAGTTGTGGAGGACGTCGCTTCACTGGCCCATGTTGGTATGATCATTGTGCTCTTCCTGGGTGAGGCAGATCGGTCTCCAGTCACTGGACAGCTGCTCAAGGCGGCTCTTGGCAGCTCACACCGGCTGCCAGCCGCTCACGCTGACTGCCAGCCACACATGGTAGCTTATGGCA